CTGGCTGCTGAGCCTTAAGGGCGGGGCTGCTTCCTGCCCTTCTGTTGGGAGGACATTCAGGAGACATGAGCAGATGTTTGGCAGATGTTCAACCTTTTCCACACTGGCCAACAATAACACAGTGCAGAGACCATGCAGGGAAAGAGGAAGGGTGGAGACTCTTGGTCAGCAACTAGGGGCTGCCATGGGAGACACCATCTCCGGCTCCCTCTCGGGTGGGAGGGAGGGAGGGCACGTGCCCATGTGTGACTCTCATCAGTGTGTTAGAACATGGCATACAAGTGCCAGCATTCTGGGTGGAGACGGGGTTGAGATTGGCTGTTTTGTTCAGTTCCCCAGGCAACCCAATGCCAGTCAGTTTGCCCAGTCTAGAAGGGCCTAAAGGCCTTTGAATCTATCAAAAGAGAAAGTTTGGGGCCAGGTTGGCTAAAAGTGGACCCACAGTCCCCTCTTGGACACTTAGAGTCATCTTTCATGCTCTAGGCCCTTGAGACTGGGTGTGGCCTCCCAATCTTGGCCAGCCCATGGCTCCAAAAAGCTCCAGTCATCATCAGAACTGGCACGGATTAACCCTACGTGCGAGCCATCCAAACCTGAAGGGTCGCAGGTGGGTGACTGAGTTTACCGGTGCAGACAGACAGTGGGTGCCTTAGTGGATTCAGTACTGCCCTCTGCTGAGAGGAGAACTGCCCATGACCGTGAGTCCATGCTGGCTGCCAGTCCTTCCCCACTGACCCCACCACTGCTCCCTGAAGACTCCTTCACTCCATGCCTGGCCTGGAGGTTCCCCCATCACATCCTCCCTGTCACTGACCCCTTCCCTTCCCCTCCTTCCCTTCCCCTCTGTGGATCTGATGAGTCTTTTTGTTCCTCGTTGGATGACACGTGTAAAGTCTGCCTGAATGAAGAGTTTGTAGGCACACCTGTGGTCATTCCCCATAATGCTCTGTAATGTTGATCCGTTTCCAGTCTCACTATTCAGTTCAACGAAAATGCATCTGGGCTTTTAAGCTAAGAGGAAGCACAGCATCATGGGTGGAGGGCACTGCTGTTTCATCCCGACCAACTAGGTCTAAGTGCTGGCTCCCCTACTTACTGATTGCACACTGATTTTTCCTCAGGCAAATGAAGCTCCCTGTATCTGTTTCCTCTCCTGTAAGAGCAAAATAATGGCACCAGCACAAAAACTGGTGAAAGCCCTTAGAATAGTACCTGAGACCTAGTAAACAGCTTAAAGTTTTGGAGACCCTCATCAGCAGTTCTCCTCTGCCTTAGAAGGTCACTAGGAGTTGCGATAGATTTCATAACAGTGTGTTTGGCTTTGGTTATGAAGAATTTAGCCACAGCTGGTCAACAGCAGAGAAAGTTCAGGAATGGCCACTCCACACTCACGCTGCCTTCTCTGAGCGCAGGTTTGGATCACTGGACTTGGGGTTCAGAAGACAACATCTTAGGGAAAACTCCACACTTCGGATGGAATGTCTATAAAAAAGTCCCCAAGGGGCTGTATACTCACTCAAACTCCCCCTTGGCACAATCTCTTGGAATGTTGTTTAAAGCAGCTTTTGTATACCTAATGTATCGTTTCTTTTATAGGGGCGGGTGGGGCGGGGACTTGAACTGATACTCTGACCAATGAGGTGTTTTTTTTGTTTGTTTGTTTGTTTTTAATAGGTTTTCCTCTCTTAAAAAGGCACATTTTGAAAACTGGAAACTCCCTCGAGTTGTGAAATGAAGTTCAAGGCAATGTCAGGGCGATAGCTTGTTAGCGTTATTAATACTGGCACCTTGTGGCCACATGAGAAAACTGCAAGATCAAATTGACTGGAGAAACAGTTCTCACTCCTTTGAAGGAAACTTCAAAGCATGAGGGAATTGAGTCTGTTCCACTCTGCAAGATGCTCTTTCAGTTGGAAAGTTAATCAGTCCTGACATCCCAGCAACCACAGTCATCAAAAGGTTGGCTTTTCCATTGACAATACTTCCATCTTCCCTATGGTCTTCATATGCCCCTTTAGGGACATCTGGACCTATTTCCTAACCTGCAAAATGACCTACTAAACACCAGATGCTGCTGATTGTGACTCAGGGTGACCCCATGAGTGTCGGAGTAAAAGAATGCTCTTTAGAGTAGTCAGTGGATAATTTTTCAGAAGTAGATTGCCAGGCCTTTCTTCATGAGGTACCTCTGGGTAGACTTGAACTTCCAGCCTTTAAGTTAACAACCAGAGGGCTAATCATTTGCATGACCCATGGACTCCTGTAAAACGGCCAGGTAGGGACAAATAGACATTGAGCCCCTGCACTGCTGTTTAGTTAGGTGACAAAAAATGTATACATTTAGAGATGCCTATTGGATACTTGGAGTCCTGGTGTAGTATGATACATAGGATAAGCATTAGACTGCCAACCGAAAGGTCAGTGGTTCAAACCCATCAGCTTCTCCTCGGAAACCCTATTCAGGGTAGCAAAGAGTTGGAACCAACTTGATGGCACTTTACAACATTGGATACTTGGAAGCATAGTGGCTCTTGTAGAATAAATACTGGACTGCTAACCACAAGGTTGGTAGTTCAAGACCACCAATTGCTCCAAGGGAGAAAGATGAGGCTTTCTATTTGCTCAAAGCTTTACAGCCTTGGAAACGCTATACAGGGTCGCTATGAGTTGGAACTGACTCAACGGCACTTAACAACATTGGATATTTGAATTATTTTGTATATAACCACCAGTCTTTAAAGAGTTCAAGAGCCAAGATGTCACTTTGAGGTCTAAGGTGCACCTGACCCAAGCCATTTCATTGTCCTTTTCAATTTGATCCACATGCAAATGAAAGTTGGATAGTGAATAAGAAAGATCAAGACCTTAGAAAAGTCCATGCATTTGAGTTATGGTGCTGGAGAAGAATATTGAAAGTACCATGGGCTGCCAGAAGAGCAAACACATCTGTGTTGGAAGAAGTGCAGCCAATTGTTCCTTAAAGTCAGGAATCTGAGACTTCATCTCTTGTTCTTTGGACCTGTTATCAGTAGGGACCAATCCCTGGAGAAGGTGAAGTAGAAGGTCAGGAAAAAAGAGGGAGACTCCCAAGGAGATGAATTGATTCAGTGGCGGTAGCAATGAGTTCTAACCTAACGATTGTGAAGATGTCACAGGACTGGGCGATGTTTCACTCTGTTCAGTCATTATGGAGCTGAAGTGACTCAACAGTTTGTAGTGTCCTCTTACACTTGTAATAACTCTTCACATAGTATCCAATTGTCTTCCTTACACCATGGTCAGACTCTCCTTAGGAATTGGATTCAGGTATTCTTTTGACGTTCCCCATATTGAAAGTGCTGCCAAAAGAACCAACAGATGTGTGTTGGAAAAAGTGCAGCCAGAGTGCTCCTTGGAGGCCAGGAAGGCCAAACTTCGTCTCTCGTATTTGAGACATGTTGTCAAGAGGGACAAGTCACTGGAGAAAGATATCATGTTTGCTAAGGTGGAGGCCAACGAAAAACCCCAGCAAGGTGGATTGGCAAGTGGCAGTATCAATGGGCTCAAGCGTGGCAACAATTGTGAGGTTGGCCCAGAACTGGGCAGTGTTTCGTTCTGTTGTATATAGGGTTGCATGAGTCGGTACCAACTCAATGGCACCTAACAACAACAAATACCAAATGTCCACAAAAAGTAAATTTATATTGAATTATTATCAAATAACAAGTGATTCTAAACTTTTGTTCTTAAAAGTAAGGCAATTATTTTCCTTTTTTTGAAAGCCCCACATCCTGCTAGGAAATTTTGAGTGAATGTATCTTAGACTTATTTTATGTGGAATTTTCTACCCACAAGGGTGCCAAAACTAACATGCTAGTTTCAAAGATAAAATGGAGATACAGGGTGTGCACTTGAAAAATCCTATTAACAAGAAGTTCCTCGTCAGTAGGTTAGCTTAACTAGTAAAGAATGTCTGCTTTGAGCGTTTTAAGATCTATCTGTTGTTGTTGTTAAGTGGCATCGAGTCAATTCCAACTCATAGTGACCCTATATAGGATTTCCAAGGAGTGGCTGGTGAATTTGAACCACCAACCTTGCGGTTCAATTGGACTTTGCATTCTAATGTATTATCTTACAGCACCAGCTATTACACTGTTGTTGTTGTTATGTGCCATGGAGTCGGTTCAGACTCACAGCGACCCTGTACAGGGTTTCCGAGGCTGTAAATCTTTATGGGAGCAGAAAGCCTCATGTTTCTCTCGGAACAGCTGGTAGTTTCGAACTGCTGACAGTGAGATTAGCAGCCTGATTCATAACCACTACACCGCCAGAGCTCCTTAAGATAGGATCAAATGGACAGCAGCAACTCGAAAGATGAGATAGGAAATTTCGAGCAGTGAGTTTGTGTTAACAGCCAGGAACAAGTTGGGAAAGGAGGGTGAATTGTATGCGCAGAAACTGTACAGTCTCAAAAATGGCAGCAATAAAATATTTAAAATATACATGTATTTACAAGTCACAGAGGTTCTAATCACCTAAGATGAAGGAAGAAACAAAAAACAGAATGTTTACAAAAAGGAAAAAAAAAAAAAAAATTAACTCTAGAGATAAGGCCAAAGTTCATTATTGATTTTCTTGAATACATTATATAAAGTCAAATGGAGAAAAGTGGTACCGAAATTCATCAGGACTCTGATAGCTTTAGTTCGTAGGCACAGCTGTAAAAATAAATAAATGGTTCTTGTACACTCGGCTCCTATGTAGAATCTAAGTAGAAGAAACTGCTTTTCAGAATTTGGTCCCGACAAAGCGTCATCTACCACCTTCAAACGCTAAGTCTAAGCATTCCCCAGAGCCAATAGCCTTTGTAGCCTACCAACCCAAAACCAACTCAGTAATGTTACTATACGCTTATTTTAATGTAATGTTCAAAGAAGTCTGTGCTTAGTAAGATCGTGAGGCATGGCCAAGATCATTCATTTAAGACAACATTTGAGGTCAGCAAGTCTCAGGAGCAGAGGTTAGCTGTGTCTCTCCGTGTTAAGGCCCATGGCTTGCTCCATGGCGCCAGTGTTCTCCGCCCGGGGTTTGGGCAGGTCCAACATGGTGGACGTGTCCTTCCTGGGATTCCCAGTGACCAGCATCCAGTGATTCTTTGGTTTTTCAGCTTTGTGCAAATCCAGATGTGTATGAGCAGCAACCTCAACCTCCTTACCAAAATAGGTACTGGGGTGAGAAAGAATTCATACTGGTTGGAAATTTGATTTAAAAACAAACAAACAAAACAACTAATTTAATCTGCAATGGCCCTAATGAAGTAAACTGCTCTATGAGGGGGCTTCAGAAAGTTCGTGGAAAAATGAAATGAAAAGGAACTTTTGAAGCCCGGTCATATAAAGTCCTTCAGGATCTATAAAATATTACACATTGTAGAGTATATTTCACTCTGTTGGACAAAGACTGAGTAAACCAAAAAAAGAAAAGAAAAAACAAGGAAGCTGTTGAGTTGATTCGGACCCATGGCGACCCCATGTGTGCCAGAGGAGAACTGCACCTCGTTGGGTGTTCAGTGCCTGGCTTTTTCAGAAGTATACAGATAGGGCTTGCTCCTGAAATGTCTCTGGGTGGACTCTAACCTTCAATGTTTCTGTGAGCAGCCTAGAACACTGTCACTCAGGTTAAAGTTAGAGTTAAGCACCATTGAGTTAGTTCTAAATCATAGCAACTCTGTCTAGGGTTTCCCAAGGTGCTGTGTTTGAACTGCCGACTTTGCAGTCCAGTGCATTATCCTGCAGTACCACACCAGGACCAAGGCTACAATGCTATGATTGCTAAAATTCTCTTGTAGGGCAAGAGCTTGTAACTAAAAGGGTGTACAACTTTTCACACCATCAAAATTCTTTGTGCTAGGAAAAAAAAGTTTTTGAGGACTATATTTTATCATCAAAGAACAGTTTTCCGTGGCGCACTCTGAAAATTGAGCTTCTCTGCTTAGTGAGAGAGCTTCACGAGTTTCACTTGTCCACGAAATTTTTGAAGCCCCGTGGTGTTTATCCCAGCCCCCAACCAGACACACCCAACAGTATCCCGCAACACAATACCTTATGAAAAGATGCCGGTGGACCACCAGTCCCTGATTTGTGTGACAGTGATTAATGAGGATTTTTGCATTTGCCTTGACAGATAAAGAAAATACGTTATTTGCATTCCAAATTAAGGCCTCCAATTTCCTAAAAGCAAAAATGTTGGAAAACATTATATATTCATGTAAATTTCATGTTGTTGTTGCTTTTTTTAATGAGAATATCCTAGAAGCCAAATCATAATGGATTGATTAAGTACATTTCGATCAATAACCACATGATAGAAAATTATACAACCCATTCAAAGTCAAATTGGGGAAGATGATGTATGGTCTGTGAGTAATGTTATTGAGAAAAAAAAGTACACTCATGATGCGCCTCTTCTGTTTTTTGATTTAAATGTCTATACATAGAAAAACAAGGAGCTCTGGTAGCGTAGTGGTTACGAATCGGGCTGTGAACCTTAAGGTCAGCGGTTCGAAACTACCAGCTGCTCCGCGGGAGAAAGATGAGGCTTTCTACTCCCGTAAAGATTTACACCCTCGGAAACCCTGTACAGGGTCGCTATGGGTTGGACCCGACTCGATGGCACTTAACAACAACAACAACATAGAAAAAGATGAAACTGATAAACAGCGGATATCTTCAAAAGGCGGAACTAACTACCAGCAACTTTCAAATGATTTATCTTGCTCTCATGAGTCTTCACAAATGAGCACATATTAAGCTGATGAGCAGAACAGTAAATAAATAAATATCATCTCCAAATCCTGGCTCATGTAAGCTAAAAGCTGTGTGAGAAGAAGAGTCGGCTCAACATTCAGGAGCTGGTCAGTCCCTCACAGCAGGGCTTGGCCTTCTCCTGGTAAATATAATCCATTTCACAGTCCACATCAGACAAGGCCACTCTGTGGCCAGCGTGGGTCAAGACAGAAGCAGAACATTCAATGATCATATGTGAACAAATACAAACTGGGAACCTAGTCCAAGAGACAGAATATCACCCACCACTCACTCCTGGCTAATACGAATGGCTGCCGTTTCGCTACAGACTACAGCGTCAGCCCCTCTAGTCTGCCTTCCCACAGAGAAGCTTTATTGGGATACCTAGTAATTGAATTAGGAGGCGTTGGGTGGCTCAGATGGTTTAAGCTATTAACTACCAGCTGAAAGTTTGGCTGTTTGAATCCACCTAGAGATGCCTCTAGGAATCCTGGTGTGGCGCTGTGGGTTAAGGCACCAGACTGTAAAGTCATTTCAACTGCAAGGTCGGAGGTTCAAGCTCACCAGCTGCTCTTTGGAAACACTACACAGGGTTGCTATGGGTCAGAGTCAACTCGACGGCACTTAACAACAACAAGTACCTCAGAAGAAAGACCTGGTGAAAGGTCTTCTCCCGAAAGGTCTCAGCCTTGAAAACCCTACGGAACACTTCCGTTCTGCATACGTATCGTATGGTTGTTGTGAATCAAATCAACTCAAGGACAACGAACAACAGCAACAATCACAGAATTGCTCCCAGTCCCAAATGTTTCCTGGATGCCTTCCCCAAATCACCCAACCGAAGCCAAATCCTAGGCAAGTGCCCCACTTGTTTTACAGCAGTGAGAGCAGCATCATCAACAGCCTCCCTGGCAACAACACTGGGCGGGGACCTCAGCATCAAGCCGTTATAGCTCTGAACTGAATGTGAAGGCTACATGTTAGTGCCATTGTAGGTTGTATGTGCTATTTGGTATGATTTGATGGGTTCTTTTGGGGGTCTAGGAATGCTAACAAAATTTCTCCCATATAAATGAATAGTTTCTTCACTTATGAAAGGTTTCACAGGCTCGCTCTACTTTCAGATAGCAGGGGAAACAGGACTAAGTACATCCTAACACCCTCTTGGAGTCCTGGTGTGGCGCTGTGGACTGTGGACTCTGTGGACTGCAAAGTCAGTTTGAACTACAAGGTCAGTGGTTCAAGCTCACCAGCTGTTCCTCGGAAGCCCTATACAGGGTTGCTCTGGGTCAGAATCGACTCGACGGTACTTAACAACAACAACAACACCCTTATAATCCTGGTGTGGTGTTGTAGGATCAGCACTGGACCCAACGCTGGCTTAAACCACAAGGTCGCCAGTTCAAACTCACCAGTTAAACTGCTCCTTGGAAACCCTATACACTTCACAACAACACCCTCCTACCACGGGGGTGTCAGGGTTCCCCCTGGTGTGCCCTCTTTCCCTCAATGCAACAATAAGGCCAACTTGTTCAGGACAGCTGTGTTCTTTGCCACCTCTTTTGGAAGACATTGACAGGTGTAAATTACCTCTGATAGATCTTCAATGTTGTTGTTGTTGTTGTTGTCGGGTGACCCTACGTGACAGGGTAGAACTGCCCTGTATGGTTTCCTAGGCTGTAATTGTTATGAGGGCAGATCACCATGTGTTTTCCTGTGGGGTTGCCAGTGGGTTTGAACTGCCAAACCACCAAGGCTCCTTCTTAGGTTTTGCATTTTGCAGAGATCTGCTCCAGACTGTAAGGTGAGTTAGCAATGCCGACTCGAGGCCCTGGTACCTAGGTCACTGCTCTGTCAATAATAAGAATAATAAACTACAACAATACTGAACACCTAGGAGCACTTTGGGGAGTCCTGAGGTGGAACTGTGCATTAATGCGCGCCAAGTTGGATTGAACTGCAAGATGGCTAGTTTCAGCTCACTAGCTGCTCTCTGGAAACCCTACATAGGGTCACTGTGGGTCAGAAGCAATTCAAAGGGATTTAACAACTAGAAAAACAGAAGTGCTTCCTGGTGAGGCAAGCCCTTTGCTAACAAGCACTATAAAGATGTTGTTGTTGTTAAGTGCCAGCCGAGTCAGTTCCAATTCACAGGAACCCTGGATAGGGTTTCGAGGAGTGGCTGGTGGCTTTGAACAGCCGACCTTGTTGTGGTCCAGTACTGAACCTACAGCACCACACCAGAACTCTGACTATTTAATTGTCACAAAACTTGATTCTCATCAGTTACCGGTTGCCATCAAGTCAACTTCGACTCATGGAAACCCCATAAATTTCAGGGTAGAAGTGTGCTCCATTGGGTTTTCAATGGCCGAGGTTTCAGATGGACATCTCCAGGCCTTTCATCCAAGATGCCTCTGGGTGGACTCAAATCTCAAGTCTTTCAGTATTGGTGTGTTCTTGGAGGGGATAGACATGCGCAAGTTAGTTCTGAGAGGTCTTTGTTGTTGTCATAGGGAGCTATTGAGTCCATTCGAACTCATAGTGGCCCTATATGACAGAGTAGAACTACCCCATAGGGTTTCTTGGGCTCCTTTCAGTTAACAGCCCAGAGTATCAACCATTGGCATAGCCCAGAAACCCTAAAATCTCACATAGCAGGTAGGATTGTTACCGGTAAGGAAATAGAACCCCTAGCAGTATAAGCCATGAAACTGAGAGGCAATTCCAAGAATAATTGGAGAGAAGAAAGTTGTGCACATTTTTTTTGTGACCAGGTATGGCCTCCATGCTGGGAGAAAAACCTTATGGGCTTCAGGTTCCCCTGGCAGAGCCCAGAGGGAAGCATACCAAGTCTGACAGGTCCAGAGAGGCCTGCATTAGGCATTGTTGGGCCACTGAGTAGATTCTAGGTCACAGTAACCCTACGTGTCAGTGAAGAACTTCCTGGAGAATGGGCAAAGGTCATGAATGATTGTCTCAGCAAACCAGCCTTTAGGTTCAGCACGGCTGTCAACATCAGTCTCCCAGTGACTCCTAACCGCTCTTCGTTCTCCATCAAGCTGGATGGATCAGGAGCAAGCAGCAAAGCCTCTGCATCCTGAAACAATGATGCTTGCTCATGTCTACCATCTGGCCGTGGGGCCTCAGGATCCAGTCTCACAGGGTCCAGGCTCCTGAGACAATGACCATGAGTTAGGAGGAAAGTTGTGCTGCCCTGCTGTCTCCTCTGCTGCCCTAAGGTCTCCCAGTCTCTTCAGAGATTAGTGCAGGACTTGGGTGGTGCAGTCAGTTCACGTGACTGTGAACGGAAAGGCTGGAGATCTAAGTCTTCCCAGAGATACCTCAGGAGAAAGACCTGGTGACTTACTTCAGAAAAACCCATCATTGTTACCTTATGGAACACAGTTCTACTCTGACACACGTTGGGTCCAAGAAGGTGACTCTGAAGCTCCATGATTATAACGTGAGATCTGAGCTGAGAAACACTGATACAGGTGTCTTCCCAGCTTGAGTTACAAGCTAAAGAGAGAATGTTCATACTATGATACACCTCTGCTCTCTGGGCAGGAGTAATTCCATCCACTTGGCAACGCTGGCTCCCACACCTTCCCTGTGCCCTGCTCACCGGGACGGGCATGCCTTCGTATTCCAGGCGCAGTTGAGGGTCAAGATAGGCAGCCTGCCAGCAGTTCAGATAGGAGAACTCCTCCACCAGGTATACTTCCTGAAGCCAAGACTTCTTAGCTGATTTCAGCAGGGTTCGGTGGTCACTCGCTAAATATAACTGAAAAGGACAGCAAGTAGATGCAGTGAGTTACAACAACATGAAAACCTGTTTAAAAATAAAAATGAAAAACAATAACAAAAAATCCATTAGACTGGATGGGAAATGTATTTTAAACTGCCCAGTTCCTACAAACTATATGCGAGGATTCATTTTCCCTCTACCTTGTTAAGTACTGTGGAGTAGGTTCCGACTCATAGTGACCCTACACAGGGTTTCTGAGGCTGCAAATCTTTACGGGAGCAGAAAGTCTCATCTTTCTCCCATGGAATAACTGGTAGTTTCAAACTGCCAATCTTGAGGTTAGCAGCCTGATTCGTAACCACTATGCTACCAGGGCTCCTTTCCCTCTGCTTTAGAAATGCTATTTTGTAATGCGGAGGCAGTCTCCCCGACCTTCCCCTTCAACTCCTTCTCTGCTACTTTCCTTCTCTCTCAAATACCAAACTCAGCTTTCATCCCTTTCCAGAAGTCCTCGCCGTACCCCCTCCGCCCCCCGCCCACCCCCCGCCCCCGATCTCCCTCTGTTCCCCTCCTCCTCTAATTCAGGGTATAGAGCCTAGGTCAGTATATTATTTTAAATGGTGCATAAAACGCATTCTAGGAAATGAAGCTGTCTTAAAGCCAAACATCACTCCAGATGACATTTGCTTGCAAGCCTCCAAGGTGCTCCCAAACCCTGTGGAATCAACATCTACACTTGGCATTTTTGTCAGATTTTCCGGCTGCTTGTCACCTTGCCAAAAATCATCCTTTCCTGCTGAAAAGTCAGAAATGCCAGTTTCTTGTTAGCGGACTCCCCTTCGCCCTGACCCTGGAGGTACTTCCTGCATATTTTAACAGGATTTCACTCAGCCTGGGCTGTGGAGGCACTATGGAGTGGCTATTTCCAGGAAGCTCTCCAGCCGGCAGGAGGGGAGATGGAGTGTGGTCCAGAAGTGGAAGGTCGTCTGTAAGGTAAGGGCTGTCCAGTAGGGTCGCAATGAGCTGTGGAGATGGAAGACAGGGAGCCAGAGGGGACATGCGTGGACAGGGCTGATGGGACAATGTTATGGTGGCATTGATGGTGGCCATGAAGGCTGTTGTGACTCATATGTGCAGAGTAGAACAGCTCCTAGGGGTTTCAAGGCTGTGAACTTTCAGAAGCAAGTCACCAGCCTGTCTTCTGAGACCTTACATTTCAAAATAAAGAGTCCAGACTTACTCCAGAGAGCCGTGGGATGACTTTTCAGTGGGAATGGGATGGAAGCACACCTGAGAGTTTATAGGTGGGTCTGGCAAAACCATCTGGTATGATCTGAAGTCAGGGTAGAGCAGAGGGGACAAGCAGCTGGGGCATGAACCAAGGTACTGGGTTTGGGAATGGAAAGACAGGTGCATGGGATGCGTGACTAACAGGCAGGTCACAGGGTTGCTGGGTGTCAGAACAGGTTTTCTAAGCAGTAAAAGAGACAGGTATAGGATTGCACTAGGGTCTGGGGCCTGAATGGTGGGAAGAATATTGATGCTGTTTGAAGCAACAAGAAAAGCAAGACTAAAGAATAGTTGCTTCAAACCACAAAACATGTATGTTGGTGTAGTAACAGTAATGAGGGCAGAAAAAAGTCTAAAAGGCCATTATCACCAGAATTTTTATGAATGCCCTATAAGTACTTACTAATCTAAAGATAAAAATAAACAAACAACAACAACAAAAACCTGAAATAACAGGTATGAGAATTTAAGAGGAGGAAAACTGTCATTTGGAGATGAATGACTATCTAAAAGTCCCAAGTGCATCCACTGGAAGGTATTAGAATTAGTAGGAGTAAATGGTTCCATTAAACGTGAATGTAACAATCAATAGCTTTCAAATGTAAAGGTAGATGATTTGTAACAAAAAGAGGGGAGTGGTTGATCTTGCAGTCCAGGAGCAGAGGACTCAGGCACCATAAAGGGACAAGTGCAGGACCCTATCCAGAGAAGCAGTGATTCCAGAGATGGAGGCAGAGACGATGACATGGAGAAACGGAGCAGCTGGGACTCTGGACTCATGGAGGGCGAGGGGCTGTGTGCTGGTGACGGGGGTCAGGCTTGCAGGGTATGTCCTTTGGTCTTTCGAATGATTATATATATTCCTGAGTGTTTTGGTGTATATCCAACAACAACAAAAACAGGAAATAGAAGCAAATACTGTAGAATGATGATGCATGGAGGGGTTTGTAATCATTGCAATGAAACAAAATACGACAGGATGAGTGTAAAGCTGTTGTTCTCCCATGTAAACTACCACTCAATTTCACAATAAATTTTTTTAAAAACTCAGCCAAAATTTAAAAAAAAGAATCAATAGCTTTCTTATATATTTGTTAAGACTATCAAATGAATCGCACTATAAATATAAATACATGCTACCAAGGAATAATCTTTAAAATACTGATGTCAAATCCATGAGAAGACAAAGTTTTCAAAACATTTTACTGAGAGTTATAAAATAATAATTGAGTAAATGGACAGACATCTCAAAAGAAGAAATTCTATAAAGTTACTAAGGACCTGAATTTATTTAATATTCCAATTGAGTCAAAATTCCAAGGAATTTTTTTTTTTTTTTTGGAAAGGCACAGAGGGACTTGTGTTTATCTAAAAGATTAAATTCTTCACATAATTCAGAAAAAGAAGAGTAATAAGAAGGAACTAGGCCTATCCGCACTCAACATAAATTACACAGTCATAATAATTAAAAAACTATGAAAACAGAAACCATTGCCATGGAGTTTATTCCAACTTATGATTACTCTTTACTGAGTTTCTAAGACTGTAAATCTTCATGGAAGCAGGGAGCTTTGTCTGTTACTAGGGGGTTCAAACAACCCACCTAGCAGTTAGCAGTCCAATGCCTAATCCATAGTGTTACAAGGGCTCATGGTATTTGGTTCCTTATTTTGGAGATTTAGGGTCATGGTTTCAATGAGACATCTAGACAATTCACCTAATAATGAATTTCCACCACCTCTACCCCAGCAATTTCCCACCACTTTGTCAGTTTATCCTACTGTAGTGACTTACATGTTCCGACAAGTCTGTAAGCTATGACACCAGTGTTTGAAATATTAGCAGGATCACCCATGATGGACAGGTTTCAACGGTGCTTACAGACTAAAACAGATTGGGTAGAAGGAGAGGCGGACTATTTCTGTGTTTGTTGTTGTTGTTATGGGCTGTGGAGTCGGTTCCGACTCATAGCGACCCTGTACAGGGTTTCTGAGGCTGTAAATCTTTATGGGAGCAGAAAGCCTCATCTTTCTCTGAATGTTTAGCCATTGAAAAACTTATGAAAGCAGCAGAAGATTGGCAAATACCGTGCCAGACGATGAAAACATGCAGAGTAACACCAGAACATTGTCAGATAGAGCACTAGAAGATGAGCTCCTCCGCTTGGAAGACAATCAAAATACAACTGGAAAAGAGCTGTTCCTTCCAAGTAGAGTTGACCATGATAATGTGAATGGAGTAAAGTTTTATAGATAATAGAGGAATGCTGAACCAAATACAACTATCCAACAGTAGACTAAAGGCTCAGTGAATGAGCCATAGAATTATATACCATACAGTCACGAAATGCTAGCACAAGAAAGCTTTCAGACAGACATGTGTGTCAAAGAGAAAAAGTAACAATCCACTAGCATAATTGTCATGGTCACATTTAAGTTTTCTAAAAATTTACGATTTACATATATGAGATGTTAAAAGAGAAAAATATTTACAATTCAAGACAGTATATTATTCATCATGCTCAGATCTAAGTTCAAACTGAGAATACACATCAAAACAAAACTGGACAAAATGTCAGCAGCGCAAATTTCTGGGTGGTACAGTGGGTGTCAGTCACTCCCATGTTGATATAACTTGGGGTTTTCCCAAAATTAGGAATTAAGGAAAAACCAAGCTTTAACTTACTATCGATGGTGAGTTGCAGTTTAATTGGCAGCATTGCTTTTTCTTCTTGTCGTGAAGTGCCATCAAGTCATTTCAGATTCATAGTGACCCTGTATAGGGTTTCCGAAGAGCAACTGGTGGATTTGAACCCCTGACTTTGCAGTTAGCAGTCCAGTGATTATCTTATAGCGCCACACTGGAAGTCCTAGTTATATTTAGAGGTGGTTGTTGTTGTTATGTGCCATGGAGTCGGTTCTGACTCATAGCAACCCTGTACAGGGTTTCCGAGGCTATAAATCTTTATTGGAGCAGAAAGCCTCATTTTTCTCCTGTGGAACAGCTGGTAGTTTCGAACTGCTGAACTTGCAGTTCGTAGCCCGATTCGTAACCACTATGCTACCAGAGCTCCTTCCTTTCAAACTGCAAGTCAACATAGTCTTGTCAACATTTAAGTGCTCGGATTTTTAAAGACACTTCTATTTCAACTAATATGCAGTGACAGCAAAAATAATCAGTATTTTGTTTACCACTTTTTAAATTTTAGTTTTAATGTTTACTTACTTGCATTCTCTTTCCCCGAGCCCAACTGCACTGAAGCTTCACTCATTTCGGTTCAGCCTGTCGGGTTTGTAATGACTTCATAAAGAAGCAGATTTATGTAACTGCATTTTCCCACAAACCTCCAACAAATCATCTTGACATACTTCATGTTTAACAAGATGAACGGAACCAGAGAGTTCCAATAGCAAATACTTGACTTCATTCAGAGTCTGTTCTTCTCAAAAAACATCTAACTTGAAATGTTCTGAAGTTTACTCCTCTGAAAACATCTTCTTTGATTAGAGATAGATAAATAGATGTGTGTGTGTGTGTGTGTGTGTGTATTTTTTTTTGAATTGTTGAGTAATTTTTAAATGTTTTAATATACCAGCTTCCTAAAATACTTTAGGAAGTATTTTTTTTTAAAAAAAAGGAGCTCTGGTAGCGTAGTGGTTACGAATCAGGCTGCGAACCTTAAGGCCAACAGTTCTGTGGGAGAAAGAAAAGGCGTTCTGCTCCCGTAAAGATTTACAGCCTCGAAAACCCTATACAGGGTTGCTATGGGTCAGAATCAACTCGACAGCACTTAACAACAAACAACCAAAAAATAATTTAGGTTTTGTGGGGTTTTTTGTTTTTTTTAATACTTCAATTTTTATATGTATAATGTGCCATGGAGTCAGTTCCCATTCATAGCAATCTTATATAGGGTTTCTGAGGCTGTAAGTCTTTATGGGAGCAGAAAGCCTCATCTTTCTCCCATGAAACAGCTGGTAGTTTCTAACTGCTGAACTTGAGGTTATCAGCCCAACTCCTAACCATTAGCTACCAGAGCTATATATATATTAAATGTTTTAATATGCCCAGCTTTCTAAAATAATTTAGTTTATATATGTATTATATACATATAAGCTAAAGTATTTTGGTCTCTATATATGTATATGGTGTGGCACTGTAGGTTAATGCACCAGACTGCAAAGCCATTTGAACTGCAAGGTCAGAAGTTCAAGCTCACCAACTGCTCCTTGGAAACCCTATACAGGGTCGCTATGGGTCAGAACTGACTCGATGGCACATCACAACAATAAAATATATTATATATATGTATATAGATATATAAATAATAAAGCATTTATATATATATATATATATACTGATATATATGTGTATATATACCAGGAAGCTGGGTATATTAAAACATTTAAAGAGTAGTAAGCAGTTCAGAAATAAGGAAAGCAATATAAATGCCATAGAGTGGACAAAGTAAACCATAATCTAAAAGATTAACCATGAAATAATGCAATCAGGGGTGTTTAATTTTGGTTGCCCCATCTTGGTAGGTGGAAATTAAAAATAGAAACCTTATGTGCCTCAGTAACCTCAAAAAAACAACCAAACAAAAAAACCATGGCATATTTACAAGGCAGTAAAGAGAGTCCCTAAGTATATACTGTCTCAGACTTTTTTAGATACACTTTTTCTTATTTCTTGAAGTGCTGTCAAGTCAGTTCCGACTCACAGAGACCCTGTATAGCATTTCCAAGGAATGACTTGTGAGTTTGAACCACTGATATTACAGTTCAAACTGACCTTGTGGTCCAGTGCTTACCTACAGTACCACACCAGGACTCCTATGCTTTTTCTTCTTGTTGTTAAGTGCCATCAAGTCGGTTCTGATCCACAGCAACCCTATATAGGGTTTCCAAGGAGTGATTGGTGGGTTTGAACCACCCACCTTACAGTTCAAACCGACCTTGCGGTCCAGCACATTAACCTGCAGCACCACACCAGGACTCTGTGCTTTTTCTTAGAGGTGGTACAATGAGAGTCTTCCACATTCACAGAAAAATGTTACACAGAACCAGCTCTGTCGCTTACTAGCTGTGTGACTTGGGTGGGGTGGTTCCCCATTAGTAAAGCAGTCATGAAAAGGTTAAACAACTCATGCACAGCCTTATCCCACAGTAAGAATCCCAGCTAAAATCCAAACCCAAATTTCTCTTTTCAATGGCGAATCTTCATCTTCAAGGAAAAGGTAAAGCATATAGACTCATGTTCCCTGATGTAAGTAAGTTTCCGCATCTCATGTTGTCCCATCTCTCATGTTTGACAGATGTTTGAAACCCAAAAGTTTAAAAAAAGAAAAGGGGGAATAATAAAGTCAAACCACACATATCTTGCTGGCACTTGTAACATACGCCAACTGTAAGGAGTGTATCAATTAAGGCAATCATTTAATTTACGGGTGGAGATAAGATACTTTTTGCCTCCTGCAGTGCAGAAAGATTTCTCTCCATTACTCTTTCACTGTTTGAAGGTGCATTTTTGATCATTTGCAAAGTTAGAAGGGAAGGATAGGTGCGAAGCTCTTGGTAAAAAGCAGGCCAAAGCCATAGTACAGACAGGCAGAGCCCCCGCCTCTGTTCACTTCAGTGGACCAGCGTCAGCCCACAAGGAAACAGAGTTGACTGGTCCAAGGTAGACAGGCAAAGTTAAGACTCACCATTTTGTCTTCAGATCCTCCCATTATGCCAAGGCAAAAGTCCTCCCCGTATCTAAGGACTTGACCGATGGCATTTCTGTCTAAACTGTTAATGGAGAATAAACATAATATAAGCTTAGTATTAGAATTATCATATATCTCTACTTTTTGTATTTGCAGTTTTGTGTTTAATCACTTTCATGGTCATATTCACGGACCATAATGGAGTTAAATAAGGAAAAGCATTTTTGTTGTGGCCTTAAAATCCACCGAGCATCCTGCTCCCTGCCTCCCACCATAGCCAGAGCACAGAATATCCCCACTGGTCAGCCTTTGGTCAACATGGACTGAGCACTTCCCAACACAAAGGAATTCTGGTCTAACGCATCTGACATCTTTAGAGAAAACCAAAGGAAGTCTGGGGGCGCAATGCTTAAATGCTTGGCTATTAAACAAACGGTCAGCAGTTCAAACCTACCAGCAGGAAAAAAGATCTAGAGGACCACCCCTGTTGAGATTGGATTGTTGTTGTTGTTGTTGTGAAGTGCCCTCCAGTCGGTTCCGACCTATAGTGACCCTTTACAGGGTTTCCAAGGAGCAGCTGGTGAGCTTGAACCACCAACCTTTTAGTTCAAACCCTATTGGGCAGTTCCAATCTGTCATGCTGTTATTGATATGTGCATTAGTGGCGTTCAGTCGGTTCTGACTCACAGCGACCTCATATATGGGTTCTGAGGAGCAGCTGGTGAATTTGAACCACCAACCTTGCAGTTCAAACAGGCCTTGAAGTCTAGTGCTTATCCCACCGCGCCACACCAGGATTCCAACCTGTAATATTGGGTCACTGTAAGTCAAAATTCACTCCTCAGCCCAACAACGGCAACAGCAAAGAAAACCAAAGTACTGCGTCTATAGACACTTAAAAAATACAACCTTCTCTTCTCATTATCCAGGTAGTGGAAGCTGTGAGCAACTTTCATTTGTCTGGCCATAAATTATCTACATTCAAAAGAAACTACTTCAAGATTCAAACCAAAAACCAAAACCAAACCTACTGCTGTTGAGTCCATTCCAACTTAGCAACTGTGGCGCTCAAAGATAAGCACCAGGCTGAACTGCAAGGTTGATGGTTCAAACCCACCAGCCACTACTTAGAAATCTTATACAGGATTGCTATGAGTTGGAATCAACTCAGCAGCACTGAACAACAGCAACAAAGGGCAGACTACAGAGCCGCGGTGATGCTGTAGGATAAGCACTAGACTAGTAACCTGAGGTCAGCAGTTCAAACACACCAGCTGCTCCTTGGAAAAAAGATGAAGCTTTCTGCTCCTTAAAGAGGCACAGCCTGGGAAACCCTAGACGGTGTCGCTGTGAGTCAGAACTGACTCCGTGGCAGGGAGTCTGGAGGAATTCATAGCGCAGAATAATACTGCTCCCTAGGGTTTCCAAGCCTAAAAGTCTCAACAGCAGCCAGCAGCTACATCTCTCTCCCACTGAGTGGCTGGTGGGTTTCCACTGACAACTTTGTACTTGAACAGCCCAGCACTTAACCCACTAGATCATCAGGGCTCCTCTCAAGACTTAAAGGACTGGCTCCATATGTATCATAATATGAACACCACTATGGCTGCTATCCTCAGGGTCAGCAGTTCGAAACTACCAGTGGTTCCGCAGGAGAAAGATAAGGCATTCTGCTCCTGTGAAGATTTACAGCCTTGGAGAGCCTATGCAGGGTCACTATGAGTCAGACCTGACTCCACGGCACACTACCGGCACACCACCGCCACATCATAAACGTACATGCTGATTAACAAAGTGAGAGCACACATCTGACATCTATTTGTTCTCTCAGGACTTAATTGCTCCTTTCAAAATTACTGAGAGTTCTTTTTGTTTTTAAGTTGGGCAATTAATTTCAGAAGAGCACATCCCTTGCATTAAATTAGATCGTTTTTTGCTGTGAACATAACATGGTGATACTAAAAGCAGTGTAAGTGCTCAAACGAGCTTGAAACGTTATTAACACATCGATGTTACTACTAGGCAAAATATGAATATAATCTCCTGGATCCAATACCTATGAATTAAACATTTAGAATTAAATACAATTTGCCGATTATCATACAGTCTAACAAAGGGGGATTGTAAAGACCCTTTAAGAATAATTCTCAGTGTAAGTAAACAAGATGAGATTCACAGAAAGTAACTGTCACCTCGGATCAACATTGCTCCAGTCCCAGGACATCCTTAAACTACAAGGCAGAGCTGATATTGATGATGAAAACAAGTTGAAAAATTACGGTGCCCCTACCTCAAAATCATGAAAGTGTTTCGACTAACTGGGTTCTTGGTTTGGGCTGCGCTCAGACCACAGGGTACCTCCAATTCATCACTCAGGTGGGCTTTAATTTCATCCGGAGTCAAACATACACACAGGTCCCCAGCCAGAAACACATCGGCTTCTGGATCGGAAGGGTCTGGATTCACCAGCATCACGTTGTCACCATAGTGAATGTATCCATCTTGAGATACAGAAAGCTGTGTCTGCAATTGTAGTAGGAATTTTTGTCAAATAACCTATGCAATTCTCAGCAGCCAGTGACAAGGCCTCTCCCTGGGGTAGCTTCTTTTCCTTCTCAGGCTGGGATCCACTTCCATAAGGGATTTACTTGCATTTCCTCTAATCCTTGGTGCCCTTTTTTTAACCTGCTGCCAAAGCCACCAGTAGTTCAGTTGTTATCAAGTTGATTCCAACCCATGTGCATCAGAGTAGAACTGTGCTCCATAGAGTTTTCAATGCCTGAATGTCTGGGAATGGATCACCAGGCCTTTCTTCTGAGGGACCTCTAGGTAAATTCAAACCTCCAACCTTTCAGTTAGTAGCCATTAGTACCACCCCGAGCCCCTTATCAAGGCTAAATAAGGCCCCTGATGATCTCAAATAAAGTCAAGTGCAGTTTTGTAAAGCATGAGATTACTCATTATGAATTTATTTTTCAATATTCATCAAATATTTTTCAGCACCAACTAAGTGGCATTTGGAATCCTGGTGTGGGACTGTGGGCTAATGCACTAGACTGCAAGGTCAGCTTTTCAACTTTACCAGTCGCTCCTTGGAAACCCCATTCAGGGTCGTCATGAGTCAGAATCGACTCAACGGCACTTAACAACAACAAGTGGCATTTTATTATTTACATATTAATTCATTTATGTCTTTATTTGAAAAAATACAGGCAAACGTAAGTAATATCAAACTCCTCTTATGTTTCTAAAATTGCGGGGGAATTGTAAATGTTTGTGGCTTTCAGATTTTTTAAAAAACTGTTGTTTTCCAAATGATTGCCCATTTGTAGAATTTTCCCTCATTTAACATATGTTCAAGGAGCCCTGGTTGTGTTGTGCATTAGGCATCAGGTTGCTAACCGCAAGGTCAGTAGTTCAAACCCACCAGCCACTCCACAGGAGAAAGATGAGGCTGTCTGCTGCCAGTAAAGGGTTACTGTCTCAGAAACCCCGTATAGGGTTGCTATGAGTCGGAATCCACTCGATGGAACACATATTCACACTAAATACTACAGCGCTTTGAAAACAATGCTTGGGTTTTCAAGTACCTGCTTCAAAAGATGCCCTTTGAGTCTCCTGTTTCTCTGTATGAGAAGTTCTCCCTTGTCTCTCTTCTCTAAGAAGTTTTTCATGAGCTCCTGGTTGAAAAGAAAATAAATGGCATCTGATGGGTCAGTAACAATCCTGAATAATACAGACAATGAATTGCAGGCTTTAGGTCAGAAGTACCTGGAGGTCAAAAAGCAACATCTGAGAACATAAGAAGTGTGAGCACAATGTGGATGGTACAAAGAAAAAAGCACTGTTTTAATATTTTATCTCATTGTCGAACGTTTGAGAAAATGAGAAAGGCAGAAATGAGAGAAGAAAAGAAAAGCATCTGTAACTGCTACAGCCAGAGGCATCATGAGCCAGATCTGGGGAGCATCTGTCCCCACTGAAGCATTTCCCCTGGTGGCTTGAAGCTTGCCCCTGGAAAGTCCACCCACTCAGACAGAAACATGGGTGTGGCTTGACGCGTGTCTGTGTGTGTTGGGGAGAGCTGTGTCTAGACAAGGCAATGAGTACAATATCAGCAAAAGGGACACTCAGAAGGGAGATGGAGCCAGGGAAAGTTTGTACTGAGAGAATTTTTGCAACTGATTGTAGTCCCTGAGGACTCTTGGTATGGCACTGTAGGATCAGTAATGGATTTTGAGTGACAGATTGGCAGTTCAAATCCAAGAGCTGCTTCTTGGAAACCCTACACAAGGTCGCTATGAGGTGGAACTGACTCGATGGCACTTAACAACACAAGCAGTGTCGGAAACTATAAGACTCCAAGGAAGAAGACGAACAGTGGAGCTCAAAGTCAGTAGCTTGAACCTACCATTAACTCTATGGGAGAATGATGAGCCTTTCTGTTCCCATAAAGATTTACAGCCCTGGAAACCCTATAAAGGGTCGTTAAGAGTTGGAACCGATTCTACGGCACTCAACAACAGTAGACTAGGTACTCTAGACCAGGTGGGGAGTTCTGTGTGGCACTGTAGGATAAAGCACTGGACCCCAAGGTCGGTATGAACTTCAAGGTCAGTGGTTCAAACTAACCAGCTGCTCCTCATAAAGGCTCTACAGGGTCACTATGAGTTGAAACTGACTCTATGGCACTTAACAACAGACTAGGTGGAGGGAGGATTCCCTGGATTTGTTTAGCACTTGACTGCTATTCTGAAGGTATCACAGCACTGCAAAAGGAAAGTCTGGCAATCCAGACTTCTTAACTGGCTTCTGTTAAGATTACAACCAAGACACCACACAGCACACAAAGAAAGTATTCTACACTCTACTTTGGTGGGTAGTGTTGTTGTTGTTGTTGTGTTGTTGTCATGTGCCATCGAGTCGGAACCGACTCATAGCGACCCCATGCACAGCAGAACGAAACAATGTTCGATCCTGGGCCAACCTCACTACCGCTGCCACACTTGAGTCCATCAATGATGCCACCTGGCTGATCCATCTCGTTGGGGGTCTTCCTCTTTTTCTCTGACCCTCCACCCTACCCAGCATGACATCCTTCTCCAGCGACTGTTTCCTCCGGACAATATGTCCAAAGTAGGAGAGACGAAGCCTAGCCATCCTGGCCTCCAAGGAGCACTCTGGCTGCACTTCTTCCAAAACAGATCTATGGTGGGTAGTGACTGGGGTCTTAAAAGGCTGTTAGCTCCCATCTAAGATCCATCTATTGGTCTCTCCCTGTCTGGAGCAAAGGAGAATGAAGAAAATCAAACATTCATGGAAACAGTTAGTCCAAAGGACTAACAGATCACAGGACCCTCAGACTCTATGATTTTGAGACCAGAGGAGATCGAGGGGGCCAACATCTACAGGCCACTCTGAAAGGGATCACATTAGAAGATCTTGGATAGAGTAGGAGAAAAATGTGGAACAAAACTCAAAATCATTATAAAAAAGAGACCAAACTTACTGGTCAAGTAGAAACTGGTGCAATCCCTGAGACTGTGGTCCTTCAGAACTGGAACTGAACTTCCCCCCAGGGCTCAATTTTCAATCCAACAATGTTGTCATTGTTGTTAAGTGCCATCGAGTGGTTTCTGATGCATAGCCACCCTGTACAGGATTTCCAAGGCGCAGCTGATGAATTTGGAAAGCCAGCCTTGTGATTTAAACCCTTCATGCAGTCCTGTGTTTTATCCCAGAGCACCCAGATGAACACTAACACAAGGCAAGTACCTACTCCTCAGAGCAATCAACAGTAGAGATCACAAAAGCATCATCTGACCAAGGACAGAGTCCAGAAGACAGAAAGGATTAGGAAGAAGGACGAATGGAAAAGGGGCACACCGGGAAGAAACAGGATGAGGGATGTTACATTGTGCAGATTGCAAGCAAAGACATGAACTAAAGTGTGTATGAATTGTGAGTGGAAAGCTGAATTGCTCTGAAACCTTCACTCAATCCATAATAAAAAGTTTTTTTAAAAAAAGATTACATACAAGAAAATCCTATGAAGGCGTTCTATTCTGTAACTCAACTCACACTCACGGGCAGCGTGGACTAGACAGGCACGCAACAACAGTAGTCAAGGAGAGGCAAGAGTCCAGCGTGGGAAGGAACGCAAGTCCAAGGAAGCCAACGGAACAGAGAGTTAGGGTGCTCAGAGTAGAAAGACTTTGAGAACTGGGTTTGCAGGACAGCGAGGGGTGGGGATTTAGGGATGTTACCTGGAGTCCCCGGTGTGGCGCTGCAAGTTAATGCGCTGGACTGCAATGTCAGTTTGACCCACAAGGTCGGTGGTTCAAGCTCAGCCATTCCTCAGAAACCCTATACAGGATCTCTATGAGTAGGAACAGACTCGACCGACCGCACTTAACAATAGCAACCTGGTGTGGCGCTGTAGGATAAGCACTGGACCGCCAGGTCGTTTGAACCGCAAGGTTGGGGGTTCAAACTCACAACCCGCTCCGTGGAAACCCTATACAGGGTCGCTAAGAGTCGGAACCGACTCGATGGCACTTAAGAACAACAACAATGTGTATTCCCAATGAAAGAGAGGATTTGGGATGCTCAGTGTCAGAAGGGGAACAGAGTTTGTGAGTCCCTCAGCTGTCGGGGACTGAGCGCTGGGAACACGTGCCCCCGTGTCTCTGTACCTCCTCAAGGTAGATGTCCTCATTCCAGTTTCCCATCCGGACCCGTGGACCATACAAGTTCTGCGCCATAGTGTCCTGCTCTCCCACCAGCGACCCTCCCTGCGACTCCGCTGTGTTACCGTTGCCGTCGCCATGACGACCCAACCGCTCTTCGATTGGTCAAGGTCTGGGATTGCTGACCAATGAGAGTGCTAGGTCTGTGCAGGCCTTGGGGATGACCTCAGTCACGGAAGCTTATAACTGCTTGAGTTTAATTGCAAAAAAAGCAAGAGGAAAACTCGAGCCATCGTGCCTCATTTTATTAAGTGCTTCCTCGTGGGTTGGTGGTGGTGATAGTGGTGTTTGAAACAAAACAAAACTTTTTTTTTTTTTTTTTTAGTAGACTCTAAATGAAACCTTACACAGGGTCGATATGAGTCAGAAATGATTCGACGGCGCTTACCAACAGCAACAACAAATGCGAAATGCTGTAAAAATATACAGTACCTTTACTTATCAAAGGAACCCTAGTTACGCAGTGCTTAAGCGCTGGGCGTTTTGAACCCGCCAGGCATTCTGTGCCCAATAAAAGATGTGGCAGGCTGTTTCAGTAAAGATTGACATCCTAGGAAACCTGAGGAAGCAGGCCTATGGGATCTTTATGAATGGACTGGCGCGGGGGTGTGGGTTGTGTTTCACTTATCAAGGCAGCGAAGAGGACCTTCTAAAGGAAAGCACAGCTGACTGCAGCTGGCCTTACAGTCTAGTTCAAGTCACGGTGATCCCAGGTGTGTGAGAGGTGAACTGGGCGCCATAAAGTTTCCAGTGACTGATTTACTGGCTTTTCTTCTAAGGCACTTCTGGGTGGATTTAAACTACCAACCTTCCCTTTTACAACTAAGAACCTATTCCCCGAATCATTAAACAATACATGCTCAGTGCAGAAATGTAGAAACCAATGTAGCATAGGTAGCTGGTTGTCGGTTGTGTGTCATGGACTCCGTTCCAACTTAGAGGATTTTGAAAGTCATAAATCTTGACAGGAGAAGCCGCACTTTTCACCCACAGAGCAACTGGTGGATTCAAACTGCTAACTTTGAGGTTGGTAATCCAATTCATAACCCACTGCTTCATGCGGGTTCCTTAGATAGCCTGGAAGGAAGGAGGGACATTACAGAAAAATTTTCATCCCGAAAAAGTAAGAAATATACCATGTTAGTCTATTTCTGTTTAACATTTTGGAGGTAGTTCAGGTTTTCAAAATATATTTCCTTGTGCTTTAGGTAAAAGCTTCCACAGCAAACTAAGTTCCCATTTTGTCATTTTTACATGAAGCGTTCTGTGCCATTGGTTACAATTTTCACAGTAAGCCAGCGCACTCACCGTTTCACTTCTGTTTCCATTGATCTAGCTTCCTTGTCCCTCCTTTTCTTCTCATCTTGGTTTTGGGTAAATGCTGACCAATGGGTCTCATGTATGGATTGTTTAAGGGAGCACGTTACTCACGGGTGATATTGTTTGCTTTGTAAGACAATCTTCTAATAGGCTGAAAGGTGGCCTCCAGGACTGGTTTCAGTTCCAAGTTTAAAGGGCGTTTTAGGGAGATAATCTCAGGACTCCTTTATCTCTCTCGGTCTTTTAGGAATTTGAATTTTGTTCTACATATTTCTCCCATTGTATCTGGGACCTTCTAGGTTGCAGGCATTATCTTTATGAACTACGTTATGCTGATTGACTGAATTTACCCATGAAACTACGTCCTTAGCCTTTTAACCAAGTAAACAAATACTACGAGGTATTTGGATGAGTCCTGGTGTGGCGCTGTGGGCTAATGCGTCAGACTGCAAAGTCATTTGAACTGCAAGGTCGGCAGTTCAAGCTCACCAGCTCCTCTTTGGAAACCCTATACAGGGTTGCTATGGGTCAGAACGAACTCGACAGCACTTAATAACAACAACAGGAAGTCTCTAGAGTCCTGGTGTGGCACTGTGGGTTAATACGCTGGATGGCAAGTCTGTTTGAACTGCAAGGTTGACAATTCAAGCTTACCAGCCGCTCCTTGGAAACCCTATACAGGGTCGCTATGAGTCAAAACCAACTCAATGGCACTGAACAGCAGCAAGGAAGTCACTATTACCCTGAACCTGTGCGCTTTATTATCTATTTAATATATATACGTATATGCATCCATATATAATGTATATGCAGAACACTCAAACGTGTATTCCTGATGCCTACAAGGAGCTCTGGTAGAGCAGTGGTTATGAATTGGGCAGCGAACTGCAAGGTCAGCAATTAGAAACTACCAGTTGTTCCGTGGGAGGAAGATGAGGCTTTCTGCTCCTATAAAGATTTACAGCCTCAGAAACCCTGTACAGGGTCACTATGAGTCGGAACCGATACCACAGCACATAACAACAACAACAGATACATGTTGTTGTCAGGTGCCATCGAGTC